ACAGAAAAAGTACTTCAGGTTGCTGTTACCTCCTTGGTTCAAATATTGTTTGTTGGCTGAGTATGAAACAAGATACTGTCTTTCTTTCTACTTCAGAAGCTGAGTATATTGCTACTTCTCAGGCTGCTTCCCAATTTCTCTGGATGAACACTACTCTTGCAGATCTTGGTCTCCACTTCTCAGGTCCTCCTATACTCTACTGTGATAATCAAAGTGCCACTGCCATAAGTAAGAATCCCACACTTCACTGGAAGAGCAAACATATTGATATTAGGTATCATTTTCTTCGAGACAAAGTTCAGACAGGTCTCATTGACATCACTTGTTTACCCACTGAACATCAACTTGCAGATATCATGACCAAACCTCTTCTCCCTCACAGGTTTTCAACTCTTAGAACTCTTCTTAGGGTTGTTCAACCTCCATTCTAATCTTCTCATTGTTGGTCCTTCTGACCTTTTGTCCTTCAATGTCAAAAAGGGGGAGAATGGACTGAAATAAGGGGTAGTTTACTGAAATAAAGGGTTATTTACTGATATTGTTACTATGTTCATTACTTTAGTTGAATCTGCTTCACTGAGGTCTTATTTCATGATTGAAGTTTTTGTCATTAAAGGCAAAAGGGGGAGATTGTTGGTCCTAAAGTTCTTTATGCAGTGTTTGCCTTTTTAATGTCAAAAATCAGTGTAGCAGTGGTTTCTTCATAATTAATGTTGCTTGAAATAAGTCTCAAGGGTTGTGTGGTCATTTTCACATCAGTGATTTATACTCTATATCTGTCCTGAAAATTCATCACAGTGTACTAACCTGTTCTTGCTGAAATTGCTGAATTTTGTGTGGACTTAGTTCATAAAGTTGTCTCAGATGGTTCCAGGGGTAGCATTGTCTTTTCTCAGCTGTACTCAATATAGATACGTATGTTCAGGATGCTGCATTACACTGGAATGATCTCATTGAAGCTGCATTGTCACTTATACAATCTCAGGACTTTTTCTTAGCTGAGAAGATAAAAATCTGTTGCAAGGATATCTTGGTAATTTTCTTCTATGCTCATGTGTATGTCACGCTCTAGTGGTCCCAGAGCAAATGAATATGCAAGAATATTGCATTTCTTAGAGGTTAAGTATTGAGCTGAATGGTGTGCACTGTCATGTAGTGTGTATGTGTATTTTTCAGTATATATAGTGTCAAAAGTGCTGAGGTATCCTTCAATAATTGGCTCTTGCTCCTGAAAATATCTACATTGTGCTTTATCAATGATTGGCTTGAGGTGACATGTGTATTCTAAGAGTGTATGGAGTTCAATGCACCTTGTGGTTATATATATATATGCTGTTATAGCCATTTTAGGGATCCTAGCCTTAAGAATGAAAAGTGACATTCAGCTGCAGCCTGAATTACCTAGAGAGCATTGAATGAATTTGATTTACTGAGAGTATTATGATGATTTATGCTATAAAATCTCACTGATTCAACCTTTGCTGAGGTTCTTTACTGAGAAAATGTTGCTGCTGCTATTTTTGCTGTTGCAAGGGCTGGATTGAGTAGTGAATATGAGTTCGAAGGTGTTATGGTCTAGTTTGTAAGCTGAAACAGGTATAATTCACTGATTTACACTTGCTCAATACAAAGTTATGTTGAAAATGAAGCTGAACTCATATTTGGACAGTAATCACATCAGTTCTGCTGAATTTAATGACTGATTCTTGGATTTCTGTACTGATTGATTAAGCCTTGCTATATTATGAGTTTTTGATCTTCTAGCAAGTATATTTTGATGAATCTAATCTTTTGAAATTGACTTTGTGAGAGAATTGTGGTTAGCTGCTATTTTCAGTATTCAAACCCTTGTGTTGAACTGAGTTTTGCTGAACCAAGGCCTGTTATGAACTTTGTGATTTGCTCATGCTACAATTCATTGTTCAATGTTATGATCATGAGTACTACAGTGAATGAAGACTGAATATGATACTATTGATTGATTCTCGAAAAGAAATTCCTATTTTACCCCTCAAGTACTGATTGCTGCAAATAGTTGTTTTGAAGTGGTAATTTGGAATTCTGAGGTGTCTGCCCTATTTCAAATTGTAGGAAAGACTTGTGTTACTTGTATATCATCTACTTGATGTATTTGGTGAGCCTAGAGAGCTTGTTTGGTCCTGACAGGGTAGCCTAGGACAGGGGGAGTGTATGTGTACACTTTGTTGAGCTAGTGTGTGAGTGAAGTGTGTGAAAGCTAGTGTCTATTTCTGATACAAGGATGTGTGCAGAGAGTGAGACAGCTGAGTGTGTAACAGCTTACTTACAACTAGTGGATGCTTGCATTGGATGAGGCCAAGACCCAAGGTTTTCCCTAATTAAGAGGGTTTCCTTGTAAAACCTGTTGCATTGCTTTATCTACTGTTTTAATTTAACTTTCAGTTTAAAGAAAGTAGAGAAGGACTTGACCAATTCACCCCCTCCCCCTTTTGGTCCAACAAATTGGTTAAAGTGCCTTTGGACTGGTTCAATTAAGACAGTAGTCAAAGTCTAACTCATCACTCCAGTTGAATTAGTTCAAAGTTCCTTAAACTAGTTTAAATATGTCAGTAGCTTAAACTCCACCTTAACTAAAAAAATTTCCATCTCAAATAAAGTACTATGATAAAATTGAGAAATGATCTAACAGGAAGCTCACTGAATCTAGCACTTGCTCATCGGGAAATCCAAACCCATTTCCTCGCCGTTCCATTACTCATCGTCGGAATCAGCCATCGTCCTCTTCATCAACACTTCTGGCAAGCTCTCCAATAATCTGAGTACGCCGTAGTTCCGTCTACTCACTACAATCTTTTTATGACAGCGTATGGTTGGCATCTGTTAACAAACCCACCACCAAAACAGTCAAGAAGCCTCACCCGCCGGATACAACTCAACCCCATCAACAAATTCATCGTCGGCAAACCATCTCATCGGATAACCGAGCGAGAGCACAGTCATGCTTATTCGGATTGTTGAAAATTTTGGATTTTTAGTCTTTGTTTAGTAGTTTGAAGAGCTTGCACTTTGGTACAGATATGGAGCAATTAGGTAATAGAAAATTAAAAGGTAGTTTAGTATTTCAGTTTCATATACAATTTATTTATGAATATTAATAAATAAGTGACGGTAAAATTGTAAAATTACACAGTTCCATTAATAAAGTAGATGGCCGTCACATACAATGGGTGTTGGTGAAATATAGTCAAATGTCAAGAGAGGGTGTAGGTGAAATTTTCCCTAGAATTAACTATTAAAGCAGTTAGGGGTGCACAAATGAACCGTATAATCAGGACCGGAACCGTGAGAATCGGAATCGAAATTTTGGTTCTTACGGTTCCGGTTCCGATCTGGTCCAGGTCTGGTCCAGGTTCTTAAAATCAGGAACCATCCATTTACGGTTCGGTTTCGATTCCAGTTCCACGGTTCCGGTTCCGGAACTAAACCGTATATATATATATATATATATATATATATATATATATATATATAATATTTGTTTTTATAAATAATTAAGTATACCTAATTTAGTTATTATTATAATATTATCCAGTGGTCACCGTGTGCCCACGTAGTCCATGTTAGTCTAGGTCATTGACTTGAGAATCATTGTAATTTGTAAACCACAAACACATCTCATCTTCTCAGACCAAACACTCTCATTTTGAAATCGCGGCGCCGCCTCTTCTTCTTCTCATCTTCTGTATTCGATTCGTGGTTCCGACAGCGTTGATACTTGATAGCCAACAAAGTCTCCGCCGATAACCCAAAGCAAACCCCTAAAATTATAAAGAGAAATGGTTGGCCTTTTGCCTTTTTCACGGCGGTGCAAGACCTCGAATCAATTACATAAAAGGATCTCAGTATCGAATTTCCAGATGCCTCTTCCCATTCTTCTTCCTCTATCTCTTGATTGAGATGAGTTGAGGTTTGGTTATGGAGTTTGGTGTTCTGGAATGTGTTGGTGGGCATTTCTCAGTTTGGTCAGCTTTGTGGGGACTGCTAAACTGGGTTCACAAAGTATTTTAAATTTTATTAAATATGCTCTAATCTTTATAGTTAGCTATTAAGAGATTGTGAGGAGTTTATATTTCATTTATTCTTTAGCTTGTGTGTTTAAAGTCAGTGATTGTTATTATGATTGCTTTGGTTCTTGATTCAAACTACCTTAACAGTCAAGATCCATTAGTACCTCCTATAGTATTTTAGTATCAGATATTCAGTTGATTACTTGATTCAGTACATGGAATGTTATATAGATGAGGAACCGGAACTGGACCGGTTCTCACGGTTCAATTCCGGATCGATTCCATACTCCCACGATTCGGTTTCGGTTTTATTTTAAAGGAATCGTTGGGATCGATTTCGATTCCATTAGGAACCGTACCGAACCAAACCGTGTACATCCATAAAAGTAATCCATTCTCTGGCAATTTTTTATTTTTTGTACAAAACTAAAATGCTTATTATTTTGGTCATCACTAAGGCACTGACTATTTAATTTGAAAGATTTAGATCTACCTACAATTTTAATTGCATATTTATTTATTTTATACTAATAAAATCTCAAAATGTGTGAAATTCTAAGTGACTTCGAGTTTGATGAACTTTTGGTGAGTCAAACAACTCCCAAAATATTCAACAAAAATAACAACTTATTACTCAACATTTTTTTACTACTCAGTACTCACATGATGAACATACATAAAAAAAAATAATAATAAATAATAATAATAGTACTTAGACCTATTTTTGGAATCAAATAATTTGTATTACCATTCAATATAAAATTTTAATTTAATACATTTAATAATTATAAATAATTCCGACAATTAAACCTCATTTTCAAAATAATTTTCCTCCGTTAAATCAGACAGTGCACACAGTACACCGCCCCAAGTAAGGTCAGCTAGTTAACCAGATATTAGAACCAGGGTTAAAAACCCAAGTGGTTGGTTAAGAAGGACATCCACAAAACCCCAGATTTCATTATCTACCATCATAACCACCGAAAAAAACCCATTTCTCTCTCTCTCTCTCTCTCTCTAAAACTTCATCCTCCGTTATTTTCATTGATGGATGGAGATATCCCTGTTTTATACAAAAGCATAACAGTAAAGCTAGTCAAGTATTAAAGAAATCCGTAAGTGTTACTTTTACATATCCATGGACATCGGCTCAACTATCCCCACCGCCACAGCCGGCGGTACGGATAAATCCCCAGAAGCTGAAACTCTAACACCTTACCGAATCCAAACCACTATACCCTTAACCTTCACCAACGGTGTACTGAAGCACCATCACCCCCTGAATCCTCCTCCTCCTCCACCTCCACCAGCGGTGGTGGTCAGTTACGGAGAATGTCTCAGGAACCACGCCGCCAGTTTGGGAGGCCACGCCCTGGACGGCTGCGGCGAGTTCATGCCCTCCACCGCCGCCAACCCCGCCGACCCAACCTCTCTAAAGTGCGCCGCCTGCGGGTGCCACCGCAACTTCCACCGCCGCGACCCCGAAGAACCACCTCCACATTTCCAACACTTGATTGAATACCAACCCCATCACCGCCACCAACCACTGCCTCCTCCTCCTCGAGGAGGCCAAAACAGCCCAGATTCCCAATCTCCGCCACCCATCTCCTCCTCATACTACCCCTCAGCTCCCCACATGCTCCTGGCACTCAGCGGCGGCGGCGTATTGGGGGCCCCACCGGAAAACAATCCATCAGCAGCTACAACATCCACAAATCCAAGAATCCGGAAAAGATTCCGAACAAAATTCAGTCAGGATCAAAAAGAGAGAATGTTAGAAATTGCGGAGAGAATTGGATGGAAGATGCAAAAGACAGACCACGAATTAATCAGTGAATTTTGCAGGGAAATTGGGATTGATAAAGGCGTGTTCAAGGTTTGGATGCATAACCATAAGAACACTCTTGGTAAGAGAGATGTTAATAAAAACAATACTGGTACTCTTATTGGTAATGATAGTAGAAATAGTACTGACAACACCACCACCACCACCCACCACCACCAACCTTGTTGGTCCAACGCCACCACCACCACAACAACAACAACAACAACATTGACAGACAATCATCAAAACACAGAGGGTCTTAGTGCAGATGTTGCCACAAGTGGCTCCTCTTCTTCTTCTTAATCTTCGATGATGGTTTAGTAATTAAGCTAGTAACTTGTACTTGTAGTACTATTAGTACGTTGCTCTTTTTTTAAGCATAACAATGGGAGAGATCTTTCAATAGAGAATTTGTTGTGTCATTTCATTTTTTTTTTTTTTTGTTGTTGCAGTGCTCTATTTATTTATTGTATTGGTTCTGTTAATTAGATGTTTCTATTTCAAGAATTTGTTTATTTTATTTTAATTGATTAGCCATGAATCTTAATTTCCGTTTTTCTCAATTTGGATTAAATGGTTTTTAATCAGTTCTCTTCTGTGTCTGAAACAAAGCAGCAAAAAGTGGAGCAGCATAATCATCCTCAGTGGGCGTGTCTTTACTGTTGCTTTATCTTTGTAGAGGGAACATGTAGTTTATTGATTAAAGTTTTATATATATTTAATGGCTGACATTGAATTGCAGGTAAATATCATTTTGGAATTCATTCTTTTATTTTATCCGATCTCTCTGTGTTACAAGTGGATAAGAACAATGTGGTATGGTTATTCTTATAGGACCATAATTTTAATTCATCGCCAACCACTTGAATGGCATCTTTTTAAATGACTCCCTAATTTTCATGCATTGAGTGTTTCTGCCTTGCTTTTTGAGGTTTGGTGGTTGCAATTAATCAGTAATTGATATACAATACTTAAATCCATGTGTTACACTTGAAAGACGAAGAATGTGCAATTGTCCGAAAGAAAAAGCATGTTTTGTGTGTATGAATTTCTTTTCTTTTCTTTTCTTATAATTGTTATACCCCTTATTTTGTAAATTTGGAACTTGTATCATTTGTGATACTGATGAATATAGTAATTGTTCTCCTCCTACTCTATTAAAAGCTTTACATTTTTCATCAATTTGGAATTATTTTCTTTAAGTGTAGTTATTTTTTCTGGGCTTTTCTGATCTCTTTCCTTTTGTATATTTATACAGTTGTTGGTGGGTAATTGCGGGATGATATTGGAAGTTTTATTTATTTATTATTATTATTATCTCTTTTCGATCCTTTGGTAGGTTGTACTAGGGTCTTGTGTCTATAATACGAAGAAAAAAAAAAAAACCGAAGGAAAGTTGCAACGCACACCATGTTTGGGGGAGTTAACGTCTACATTGGATTCTCATAGCGACTCGTCAATCAATGAAAATATTGTAGGTCACTATCATTATTGGGTGGCAAAACTGCCTTTAACCACACTTGAAAACAGGGTTTATTACCCTAAAAGGCACTTCAAAGACCATTTCTAAATATTGAATTTATTACTTCAATTACAAGAAACACAGGCTTTATTAACCTTAAAAATTAAATTTGTTAAAAAAAAAAAAAAAAAAAAAATTCAACATTCCTTTAGCATTTATCCCACTTTTAAAGTTATCAAGTTTTACACTACACGAAAAATCAATAAACCACATCATATATATTTTAGAAACACAATGCTTAGTTTCTGTTACAAAAATAAATTTAAAAAGTAAGCAAGCATTAAATAAATAAATAAATAAAAAGTTAGATTAATTAATTGAAAGGCCAACGAGGACCACACGACTGTTGACACGACAAAAACAGGTGTTTGTAATGTGGTCCTTTTGTTTTCAGGTTCTAATGTTCTATGAATAAATGCGCGCGCACGCACACATATATATATATATATATATATATATATATTAGAATTATTTGTTCTTGCATGGACAACTCACCTAACAATTGCAAAGGTGTCCATCCCTATATTTGCTCTCTTTCTAAAATTTGTTTGCTGTTGTCTACCATGAAACCATTATTGGGCTTTGAGTTGTGTTTTATTGGGCCCTCTGTTTGTGAACTCTGAAACACAACCACAGTAATAGGTGGTTGTATTAGACCATAATTGGGCTTTGAGTTGGGGGTTAAGGCCTCTGTTTGTGAATTATACGGCCACAGTATCAACACAACAATTCTATTCTAACCGACAGATCATGGGAATTTTTATTTATAAAATTGTTAATTCAACTGTATTTTTTTACCTGAAATAATGCAATTTAAAGTACTGCAAGTTTTGTCCTTCCAATTTGCTTTTCTACTTTCAAATAATAGCTGTCATAGTACGTAGTAAAAAATTCACGAAAGACCATGCATTCAACATGTATTTGGTTTTTGAACTAAATTTTTTCTAATTTTAATTTTAAAAAATCAATTCCATGTAACCGAATATAATTTACTGCTGTTGATTACTATCATACGATAATCTCGGATGCGACCCACCTTTCTTGTTTATATGTACTCATGTATGAGGATTCATAAGATGGATTACTTGTTTATCCTTTAATTTCTTATACTAACCAATGACTCCAAATTGGATTGGTTTTGCGCATATATATATATATATATGTTTGTTTGGTTACATGTTTCACTTTGTCTGCTGCCCCATAGCCAAAATTTCACGTTCCCCATTGAATTTGTGAATTTTGTGGTAGCTGGGACTGGGAGGTGTACCCCCATTAGAGAGTACTGTATCCACATGCTTCACTTAATACATACATAAGGTGACTAATGAGGCCTTGTCTCATGGGCACATGATTTTGTCTTTGTATTAATGATATAATCAACAATTAGAATAGGATGGTCCCACACATTCTGATAAAAAGATTTCATATATCATAACAAAATTTAAATTTTATTTTTTTCTGTCATTCAGTTACAATTAGGCATCATTAGTGTACTTCTTTAGTTCAAACACGTATTTTAATTTTAATTATTTATGTGCCGGTTAGGTTAAACTGGGAAGGTATTATTCAAATACTAATAGCTACCAGTGATTTTCAAGTCAACTTAGAACAACATTTTTAGAGAGAGTTTAATTCTTAATTCTTATAGTCATGGTCATTGGTTTAATTCATCAATTCTTAATTACCATATATTATACTAGTTAATGTCCCCAAAAGAAACATAATCTCCTTCTAAAGAGGGACCTTAATTAAGTGACTTACATTTATTTGGAAATTATGTTAATCTTTTTCAACTCTCCACAAAGTAAACCATCTAAAAGAAGAGAAATAGGAGATCAGTAGGCCCTTTATCATAAACCTAGTAAAAAATAAATAAAATAAAAAAGAGCAATATTCAAATTTGCATGGAAATGAAACTATTTATTTCATGTAGTCACTTGGTAATAGTATTCACAAGGGGCTCATGGTGCTTCCTCTGCCTTTACAGTATGTATGGTCAGTATGAAGCTAGTCCTACTTGTAAAAACTATAAACACGTCACATGCGTATTCATTCAATACCATTCTGCAGACTTTCAACATAATTCCTGCTCACATATATATATATATATATATATATATATATATATGTGAGCAGGAATTATGTTGAAAGTCTGCAGAATGGTATTGAATGAATACGCATGTGACGTGTTTATAGTTTTTACAAGTATATATATTTCCATATTTTGATAATAATAATAATAATAATAATAATTCCCACGGAGAGAGCTTGATGCCAATGACCAGAGTGGGAGTTGACTTTTGTTGTGCTGAAATTGAAAATTATGTATTGAAAATATTAAGTACTGAATTTTAAGCGCTAAAATTTTAAATATTGTATGTATTAATTTGAAAACTCGTTTGATAATGTTTTAATTTTAAATTCTGAAATGTTTTAATTTTAAGTTCTAAATTCGTTAAGATTGTTTATTATATACAAAAGCTGAAGTGTAAAAATTATACAAAGTACATTTTCGTCCTCAATATATGATACTCATAACCATTTTATATTTATAATATAAAAGTATTAATAAAATAACCACATTAATTCACTCAATGAAATATATCAATTTAACAATAAATAATAATGTCAAATAATCATAAAAAAATAAAATTCTTAATTAGAAATAAAATTATATTATATAAATAATTGAATTATATTATATAAATAAGTGATAGAAAATTTAAAATATGAGTTTGGATTATATAACATTTATATACTGTATTGAAAAGGATGTTAAAAATATTAAAGAAAGTAGGTGAAAAAGAATTCTTATCTTGAAATATAATTTTGTTATATATATATTAGTGTTAAATCAATTTGAATAGATAACCAAAGAGACGTGTTTATAATATACGTAGAATTATTATTATTATTATTTTGAGAAATTGGTAAAATTATATATTTTTTAAAAAATTTGTTCTACAATGTAAAAAAAAAAAAAAGTAACAACCAACCAAAGATATATATATAAGAGTTTTTCAACTGAAGTACTCACTCTATTCCCAGATGCAGAAATAAATCACAAAAAGAAGTTTAAAGAAATTGCAAAGGGAAGTCTAGAAGAGAAAGCGTGGTAGAGTAATCATTAAAAAAATAGTTTTAAAACCTAATCACTTACCGTCTTCTGTAATATGCGATAAACAACCTTCTCCTCGCTTAGAATTTTGACCTATTTTAAGTAGTACTTACCATTTTAAGCAATATTCTAAAATTTTATTAAACACACTTATTTTAAGAAATCACGTACTGCCTTCTACATTCAGCGTTGAAATAAAAAAATCAAACAGGTTCCTCGGCATGCACAACTTAATTCCATAGAAAGTCAACTATAATTCTCTTCATCAAGACCCGCAATGAAATGCTTTAATTTACAATTAATTCTCTACATTGGGACCCACCAATTTACACAAAGACACAAATGATGCAGTAAATAGTAGTTAAATACAGCATGTTAAGTAATTTAAGGACAGAAATAAATTTACATGGACTGACATTGGTTTTAAACATCCATTTAAATGGCTCTAGAGATGGTCAAAAGATGTATGAGATCATTTTCAACATTCCATACAAATATATATATATATATATATATATATATATATATGTATTGTTTACATGTACTAAACAAATTGAGCAATCATATCAAAAACAAATTCATTCTAGCTCAATGCATATATAGATTAGCTTAATAATGCCCAATATTCTACTGTTCAAGCACTAAATTTCTACGCGGCCACAAAAAAATTCCATCTCAAAGGCCTACAACAAAAGATTAACATCCAATATAATTAATATCGGGTAACACCAAAATAAAGCCCCCAAAAGAAATGAACCCCTCCTAAAACAAATCTACGTTTTCATCTAGTCCCATGTCACTCAGCTCTTCTTCTTTCCCTTGAACAGCACGACCTTCATCAAGAAACCAATTCTCAGGCATTGAAAATGGCACTTGCTCACACAGATTTGGCTTCATTTCACATTGAAATATATTATCTTCGGGCGGCGTTATGGATTGAGAAACATCAGCATTATTATTGGATGAGTCCAATGACTCAAAACCAAACAGAGATTCAAAGGGCTCACATAAATCAATTCCAGTACTACCCTTTGTTGTAGCACTTAGAATAGTACTAGACATATTTGAAGCACTAGTGATGGATGTGGAATTGAAGGAAAGGTGATCAGTAGTAACTGAAATAGCCTGTGTTTTACAAGCGTGTTTGGGTGTTTTTTTCATCCACCCTTTTAGCAATCTAGCAATGTTGTCAATGTTTAATGGATAGAGTGTTGTTGATGATTGGGATGGTATGGGCTTTAAATCAGCAGGTACAATAAAGCTTGGCTTCTTGTTCTTTAAAGATAAAGACAGAGACTCGTGTAAGGCTTGTTTGGGCATGTCGATATCAGTTTGTAGACTTCTCTCCCACTTACCTTTAGGGATTGAGTGTGAAGAAGAAGAAGAAGAAGAGATCCATCCATCTGTGGAATGACTATTCTGCCCTGTTTGGATCTTCCTCGGCTTCCTCTTCAAATGGGAATTCCAGTAATTTTTAATGTCATTGTCGGTTCTGTCAGGAAGGTAAGAAGCTATGACTGACCATCTGCACCAAAACAAACACTACTCGCATTAATTAATTACTCCTACTCGATCACTTGTTAGAAACCAACTAAAATTAATTTATACACAACATAAATGATATCTGCAGATCTATATATATATATATATATATAGAGAGAGAGAGAGAGAGAGTTAGAGATTGATGAGAGAAGTTATATACTTGTTTCCCAGCAGAGATTGAAGCTGGATTATGGTCATTTCCTCTTCAACAGTAAAGTTACCCCTTTTGATCCCTGGCTTCAGATAATTAGTCCATCTAAGCCTACAACTCTTACTGCATCTGCGTAACCCTAATAAAATCAACCACACATTGAAGAATACTACAATTTTAGTAGACACTTACACATTCAAATTCCAAAATCTGCTACTAAATTTATACAATAATCTCTCCCTAGATATATGTGTACAAACTCTCTTTGATGCATTTCTTTAATGAACACAACAGAGAGGATCTAGAGCGATATCTACATACGAATCAAGCCACAAGAAAGAATTCAAATCTAGATAAAGACATTTAATCATACATAAATGTGTGTGTGTGTGTGTATATATATATATATATATATAACCTGTATTAGTAGGAACAGCCTTCCAAAAGCCAGAACTACCATGCTGTTGAATATAAGACACTAACATGATATCTTCTTCAGGAGTCCATGGTCCTTTCTTTACTCCAACTTTGTCACAGCAAGGTGATCTTCCCATACCTTCGTTCTTTCTTCCTAATTCCAAACCTTTCTCCTATGTAGCCTTCTTATCTTATAGTATAAAAGTATTAATTGCTTTCTTCTTTGAAAAAGCTGAGACAAGGGTCTATGCCCTAAGTTTTGTTGTAACTGTAGACTGCAGAGCATATATCGGCTAGGATTTTGATTTGATCATTGACCCAAATGGGTGCCAAAGAGTCAAAAGCTGCGGCAGTAAGTGTATTTACTCATATGGGCTCAAATCAGCCAAAAGTCAACTGTGTCTATACCTCTTCCGCTGCTGCTTCACCCAGACCGCGTGGCATTCAATGTGATTCCGAAAACCCTAATCCAGCTTTATATCTCAAAACCCAATACGTCATCAAATAAAGCCAACTCTGTTAATAACATAAACTGCATGCTAGTACTACTACTTACTGTACTAGCATCTTTCAAGTTTCGAGTTTTGATTTTCAAGAAATCATATCCTACTGGATCTATGCTGTTCTGATTTATGGAGATCAACATCATGATGATGATGATGAATCATGTCTTTGGTTAGATTCTCTCACAAGTCTTTTGACCCTTAGACTTGAATTCCAACTGTGTATATATATATATATTTATCACTGTAGCACGCAAAGAGTAGATAAAAGAGTACTGAATGAGGTGGGTCCTTCTATTTTCATAGATGAACATCAGATGCTTGGCCAATCAAATACCATATGGCTTATTCATCCACATCATGCATGTGGTCCTCATGATACAGTAGTAATGTTGTGGGACCATCACTATCAAATGGATATTAATCAGCACCGTCAATTTCACGTACATCCAGTAAATGCTTTAAGAATTTTCAACCCACAACAGTCTCTTAAAATACAATTTTTTATTTTTTATTTATTTTTATTTTTAATATATATTTTTATTTTTGTAAAAAATTATGCCTATTTTGCGTGGTTCTTTTTTATATAATCACATCATCATATTTTTCGTCTCTCTCTCTTTTTCATTTCATTTAAAGCATCTCCAATGATTGTCTATATATATATATTTTTTTTTGTCTAAATTTGATGTGTCATAATAAATTTATAAAAAATATTTGGACTAATTATTTTTAACTCCAGCCATTATTATTTTATCTATTTTGTATAAAAATATATTTGTCAATAATAACCAAACTACGTGTGATGCCCAAAACCTCAAATAATTTTTAAAAACCTACTTAACATAGAATTGATTTGTTAATAGAATGAGAGAAAGGGGTGAAAGATAAAATATGCTTTGTGTAAAAAGATTGTGCAAAATATATAATAATTTTACACATTGGCTAGGTGGCAATGTAACTTAATGTAATGCTAGAGATAAAATAAAAAATAAAAAAATTACAAATTGTGTATATTATACACAAAATGATCTTTTAATACACAACTGAAGATCCTCTAATGATGTGGAATAATTATTTTTGTAAATTTAAAATAATAATCATAAATTTTAATTTAATATTAAATAATAAGGTTAAATTTGACATTTCACAACTTATTTAATTGGCCGGTCACGAATTTGGAATAACTTAATAAGTTTTGTTAGTTCAGGATATTTTTTATATAAACAAGGAGTTTTATGATTATTTTGAAATTAGAGAAGAGTTTTATGATTTTAATCAACTCTTTTTTGATGGGTTAATTATTTATTTTTATTTTTTTTTACTAAAGGGATTAATACGAGACAGTTAGAGGTGAATTAATTTGATCAATTGAAATCAAAAATAAAAATAAAAGTATAAAAAATTAAGTAATTAGTATGATTTTTATATTTTGATACGAAATTTTTTATTATATAATTTTGATACAATATATATATATATATATAATAATAATAATTAGATGCCTGTCACAATATTTCGTGCTTTGGCGCGTGAAATAAATAAATAAATAAATAAAATATTTTAATATTGCTAAAATTTTGTCTCCATCTGATTGCATCATAGACGGAATCAATTAACAAAAAATACGAAATAAAAAATAATATTATATTATTTCTAGGTTTTGTGTAATAAATATTTTTTGAAAAAAATAAATTAAGCAAATTGTATTAAGAAAATAAATTACATGATAGAATTTGGTCCAACCAGCTTTAAAAAAAGTCAAACAAGCCCAAATAGACCAATCCCACGGCAAAAGCCTAGCCCAATGAATCTGCAAATATCTTCAGTAACGGCTAATAGGTAATATAAATAGTTTCATGGTGTTCAATGGCGGTGATTGGTGACGGGTATTTCTAGTTTTATGTTATCAATATAATCACTTTTTTCAGATGCCCAACAAGAAAGGTCGTTGCCAAGGATTAAAAAAAACAAAACCAAACAAATTTACTAGAAAGATTTACGCCTATCCCAAATGTTCAACGACTAATTATGTCAAATAATTATTTTTTTATTCTTCTAAGACCCCACAGTAAAAATTGTACATGTAGATGCCAGATATACAATGTTCTAAAGCTAATAATGTTAAATGATATGTTTTTTTTTGCTGGACAGAGTGGCTGGGTTACACAAAGAGAGAAACATTTTTGTTATTCATGGAGCGACTCAAAAGATATCAAAATAATAATAATAATAAAATATATAAAATTTCGATATGACTTTCATAGAAAAAGTTCCTTTATAATCTGTTGAAATATATAAAAATGTAATGGTCTCACTTGGCCTTAAGACTAATCTATCTAGTCCCAACGCACAGGACAAATATTATACCATATTCCCAAAATGATTACATACATATAAAAAGTCTCGTTCCTCCATCTCATCCAAACAAGGAATGTACTTTAATTACATCAAGTTATAGATCATAAAATATAGTTAAAATTCAAAAGTCCATAACTTATAACATTATACCAACTAAACTAAAGTTTCACAAAATAGTTAAGATTACATTTACAAAATATTATAATTCTAATACAAAAGATAGCAAAATAAAATACTTGTGGTGGATCGTCGTTCGCCACTTCTTTTCCCAAACCTGAAAAATGTTAAGATAATAGGGTGAACTAACCGCTCAGTAGGAAGTGTTTAAAACACACTTCTTATAACCCCGTGAATCAACGCAAAAATAGATAAAACGTAAACAGGATCATGTCATAGGGAATACACATCAATAACGCCAAAACAAGCATGTAAATAAATATCATCCAATCACAAATACACCAAATATGCTAATAAAATGCAATGTCATGTCAATATCGTTCCCCCCATTTTTTCGAAACAATTTCTTTTTGCCCTTCCAAACCGTTAATGCAATTCGACCCATAGCACCTCTATAGCGCCACGAGGGGAAGGTTGGCTAGCTTTCCCCTACCACATGGCACCTCCATGGCGTCATCTGGGCCTGGGTAGCTCAACCACACTAGAGTCCCTCTATATCACATTAACACCACGAACCACTAAGCGCCTTCTAGGCGTCCGGTTTTCGCAACCACTTTTAGAAAACACTTTCCTATTTGTTTTAAAACATTTTTCTCATTTTCTTTCCCAATGGATGCATGAATACTTCATGCTTCTAATTATCAATTCAATTATAGGCTTTCACACATTCCATTTATATCATCATCACAATTTAATAAGAATTTCTAAATATTCATTTCTTTTATTTTATTTTTATTTTATTATTATTATTTATTTTTTTAACTATAGCATCAATTTTTTTTTTAAGTAATTAAAAAAAATCATAGGACATACAATATATCAACACTAAGCATGCTCATTCACTGTAATGAAAATAACCATGTATATAAACTCAAATAACACATAGAACACATTTATCATTTTGATTACATATAATTACAACAACCACAAACTAGGTAATAAAAAAATTAGCATGCTTAAGATCAATTTTAAGAGGAAAAATTCACACAAAGGACCAAAGAAATTGTAGATTAGAACACCTCTACCTCAAATTGAAGAAAAGCCCCAAAATCCCCAATTTCAAACCCTAATTTTGAAATCCCAAAGTTTGGCCAAATGGTGCTTGGCTCCTATCAAATTGACGGCCTCGACGAGCTCTCCAACTTTGTTTCACAAGGTTCTATCAAATTCTCAAAGATAAAAGAGGGATCAAGCTTTGAATGGTGAAAAGAAAAAGAAAAAAAAAATGTTACAGAGAGAGAGAATAGAACTGCCGAGAGAGACAATGTAAGGGTCTGTTGATGACCCTCAAGTCTTATGTGATGATATGTAATAATGTGGATCCCATGGTTTTAAAAGAAATTCATTTAACTTTAACACACACACACACACACACACACACACACACACACACACACACACACACACACACACATATATATATATATATATATATATATATATATATATAATCGTAAATATTACTTTCTCCCTAACTTTAAAAGACTTCGTCTCTAAAATTAAGCCATACCTAAAGGAGAAAACAACTCTGGATACTTGGAGCAAACTTCTTGTTCGAGCTCCCAAGTAGCTTCCTCAACTCCGTGATGCCTCCAAAGAACCTTTACCAACGGTATCGTCTTTTTCCTGAATACCTTCTGCCGTGTGTCAAGAATCTGAACTAGTCCCTCCTCATAGAAAATATCCTCATTAATATCAACCTCAACCCAACTTAAAACATGAGATGGATCCGGTTCGTACTTCTGTAGTATTGATACATGGAAAACATTATGGACTCTGTCCATCTGTGGTGGCAATGCCAGTCTGTAGGCAACCTCTCCTACACGGTTCAAGATCTCAAAATGTCCAATGAATCGTGGCGACAACTTGCCGCTCTTCCCGAATCTCATCAACCCTTCCGTGGAGAAACTCGAAGAAAAACGTGGTCTCCTACCTCAAAGGACAGCGGTCATCTCTGCTTATCCGTATAACTCTTCTGTCGACTTTGAGCTGTGAGTAACCTCTATCTGATTAACTTAATCTTCTTAGTAATCTCGAGTACAATGTCAGGTCCTAAGGCGGCTGTCTGACCCACCTCAGTCCAACAAACAGGAGATCTACAAGGTCTGTCATACAACGCCTCAAATGGAGCCATCTGAACACTCATCTAATAATTGTTGTTGTAGGCAAACTCAATAAGTGGAAGTTTGTGATACCCTC